CGTATAATAGGCTGCTGAACCCTTTACCAGCGATATCAATTTCTTATGGCAATTTCCAATTGCCTTTTTGTCTGTCAATTTTTGAGCAATATTATTTAAAAATTACTTACTACATTCTTCTCAATATTATTATTATGCATTTACACGTTTGGTCTGTGTAAGTGTTGTTCGTTGTCTAATTTTGTATTTTACTAATTTCAATTTTTTGAGTTGTGAAGTTTTACAGAAAATTTTTATGGTGTTTTTATTTCCTCAATTTATTTGCAATTAATTTTTCCTTTCGGCCAATAAATTCTTTCGTAATTTTAACGCTTACTCATTATTTTTTCGAGTTTCCCTAAATTATTCTGTATCAGGACTGGTAAAGGGTGGTTAGCTGGTGTTATATTTCACGCAGATACATCGATAGTACTTCCTTAGAAACCTACTCCGAATATTTTCTTTTTGAATTTGTAAACGTTCACTTCAAATTCTTGAAAACCGCCGTAAAAGTAATTGACGAAAAGAAGGAAAAAAGTGTGTGTGAGAACGCAAGTTCGAAACATAAAGTTGACATAAAATAAATATAGGGTGACATAAGGCAACAGTGTCCAGAACACTAAAGCTATATACATTTCGAAAACGTTGGACTTTTTCAGCCGATGGCCACGCAAAAAATGTCCCGTTTTGTGAAATTCACGAAGCGTCGTTTCTTTCTCTGACCAGCGTTTTTCTAAAAAGTTGCGAAGTTCTGGTTCGGTTTTTGGAAGAATCGATACAGGATATCTGAAATTTTCACCACTGATACCTATTATATGCTAGGTACCATTGAACGATTAGAGTGATATAATTAATACGACAGCTATATTATTTTATACAGTAGCACCAATATTCCTTTTACGATTATTTTTTTATTTTTAGTTTTTGAGTAGAGAGGTAGGTTGCTCGAGGTGACTATTGAATTTGTTAAAAATACGTTTTTAAAGCTTTATTTTTCTTTTAATTCGAAATCACTATCAAATTAAAATTTTATGTAGAAATCGAATGGATTGATTGTAATCTTGTTTCTTCTTATACCGTTAAAAGATTTATTTAAAGTTGTAGGAATACTGCATACTACCGTATTCCAACGATATGATATTATATATTACGTTAAAGTATTAGACATTGAAATCAAAACATATTTTTTTCATTTTTGTGAATTCCAGGACGACACTGATTATTTAATTATTATATCTTTGGTAACAAATATTAGTAGTAAGCTACACTAGTACATGATAAAATTACATTTTTTGAGGGATGCCGCGTGTGTAATTTTATGTCACCGTAATAATTTAGGAATCTTCCCTCAAAAAATTATCAATTCTAATTTCGCGTTTAGAGATGAGCTATTGATCAGGCTATAAAATTGATTACAATATAATTATTTATCAATATCGAACAACAGATTTGGAATTTACTTATTTTCAGATGAGGTTTTCCGGAATTTTTAGTTCAGCCACCGAATTTGTGCTTCCGAGGGGGACATTTTTCGGTAACAAATTTCTAAGACGTTTACTTCCTTTCATTAAAGAGCTACCCATACGAAACCGATTCATCATGATTATGACTTAATTTAGTCCAAAAGGAAAACATCCAATTGTAAAGTTTTATGATTACTATTCTTTGATTGATGATGGTTAGCAGATAATTAATTTTATTTAATCAGTCGCAAATGTAAAGGTAAAATTTTCTTTATTAGTATTTGATAGTAGCGAATATTTCATTAACAACTGTTACACCTTGAAAACAGAATTAATTTGTTAATTAAATACAATTTCTTGAGATAGGGTGTCTGTTAATGTCTGCTTTAAATAACTTACTAGAATAAACGATTGAAAAAACCTATAGATAAATAAACATGAGAATTATGAATTCACAACATTTAGAAGAGACATGGGGTCACACACATTGAATACATGCACATATATATATATATATTTATATACATTCAGTTCAGTAAAAAGGATTGATGAAAATGACGGCATCACATTTGACAACTTTTTGCTTCATTTTTATTTTTTTTAAATTATTGAAACAAATTTTAATCGACGAATTTGTCAAAAGATATATTAAGTGACGAAAAATATAGGCGTTTCTCTACAATACATTAGTACATGAGTATATTTTAGGTGAATAAAATACAATTTGCTTAGGTGATTTAGGCGCACTCTTGTTTTGGTTTAGTGGAATATTAATTAATTAGTTCGACAAGGATAACTTTATAATCCAATTTTCAGATGGTATATGTGTTCACGTAATAAATACTAACAACACACTGATATTATGGTTTGAATAATAACATCGAAAACATTCATTTACGTACTATTCTATGCAATATGTATTTGAGAAATGGCTAAAAACATTGATAGCGACAATTAATTCTATTAATTATTATTGTGGAAAACACTGATACGAATTACATATTGTTTAATAGCTATCATAAAATACACTATCCTGAGCACTACAACTTTTTTTTTTTAAAATTCGAGCATCTAGAAGTGAAATACCTTCTTTTTTATTATCAACATTTATAGTTCAAAACGTCAAGAGTATGAAAAACATGGACTAAGAAGCACAAAATTTAATTTTAAACATTTTTTTAAACTTTATATTATTNTCGGTTTTCAATTTGAAGTCGTTAGCTCTTTAATAAAAGGAAATAAAATCTGTGAGATGAAATATTATAAAAGCAACTAAAATTAATTTATCATTTCCGAATATGTACCTTTATTTTTGCCATTTTTGTTCGATTTTCCTTTGTTTATAATATTTCTTTTTAATGTTCCCGATATGCGCCTCACAAGGTGTTTCACTGTTCAAACAAAATTTTGCTTTTTTGTTTGGGCAATTTATTTATTTTTGAGCTTGAGATATAGAGTCTCCATTATTTTTTTCGAAAAGGTGCTGTTGCTGTAGGCCATCATTATTTTTAAACAGCACACACACAAAAATGGTAGCACCTGTTTTTTTTTTGGTACATATGCAGAGGGTACAGGTAGCTTTTCCGAATACACAAAAAATTTTACCAGGAATGGACTGCTCGTATAATAGGCTGCTGAACCCTTTACCAGCGATATCAATTTCTTATGGCAATTTCCAATTGCCTTTTTGTCTGTCAATTTTTGAGCAATATTATTTAAAAATTACTTACTACATTCTTCTCAATATTATTATTATGCATTTACACGTTTGGTCTGTGTAAGTGTTGTTCGTTGTCTAATTTTGTATTTTACTAATTTCAATTTTTTGAGTTGTGAAGTTTTACAGAAAATTTTTATGGTGTTTTTATTTCCTCAATTTATTTGCAATTAATTTTTCCTTTCGGCCAATAAATTCTTTCGTAATTTTAACGCTTACTCATTATTTTTTCGAGTTTCCCTAAATTATTCTGTATCAGGACTGGTAAAGGGTGGTTAGCTGGTGTTATATTTCACGCAGATACATCGATAGTACTTCCTTAGAAACCTACTCCGAATATTTTCTTTTTGAATTTGTAAACGTTCACTTCAAATTCTTGAAAACCGCCGTAAAAGTAATTGACGAAAAGAAGGAAAAAAGTGTGTGTGAGAACGCAAGTTCGAAACATAAAGTTGACATAAAATAAATATAGGGTGACATAAGGCAACAGTGTCCAGAACACTAAAGCTATATACATTTCGAAAACGTTGGACTTTTTCAGCCGATGGCCACGCAAAAAATGTCCCGTTTTGTGAAATTCACGAAGCGTCGTTTCTTTCTCTGACCAGCGTTTTTCTAAAAAGTTGCGAAGTTCTGGTTCGGTTTTTGGAAGAATCGATACAGGATATCTGAAATTTTCACCACTGATACCTCACAAACGTAAACTATAGGGTTGTTCGGAAAGTCATTTCGTTTTTTCCCGACAGAGGATTTAATTGTATTCTTTTGCACCCAACTTCACATTTAAGCCGTATAATTTTTATATGCTTTGAGAGCTCATATAGCAAGGCTTGTGTGTGAAAAATTCCAATTAATTCTACGCGGTAGTTTTTGGTTGGTGCCCTTTTAAATATGGAGAGCGATAAGCAGCATTTTCGACATATCTTACTGTTTTACTACAGAAAGGGTAAAAATGCTGTTCAAGTCAGAAAGAAATT